AGTCATCCCCATGACATGCCAGCCCCATGTCTTCAGTACCTCATATGATCTCTAGCATACTAAACACCCTATCAATATCTGTTGAATGGATGTCAGGATCACGCAATCACCACTTACTCACAGTGTCCAGGGCACTATTCTACCCTTTGTGACAATTCACCTACTTATTCTTTAATCTCAGAACCACCTCATGAATTACACACTCTTATTAACTCCACTTAATAAGGAAGGAAACTGAGGCACCGAGTAAGTGAATAAACTTACCCCAAATCTCAGAACAAGCAAGTTACAAAGCTAGGACTGAACCCCCAGGGTTTCCCAGCTCCAGGCCCCACAGTCTTGGGCCACTCCCTGCATGCCATCCATGCAACAGGGAACTACAGACTTCATGTACGGCCTGATTTCCAGGAAGTTCTGATTGTGCGTGATTAAGTCAAGGTAAGCCAAACCTTCAACCCAGACCCTCTTCAAGACCTTTGCCTTTTGGTCTGTGTCTGCACACTAGCTTCTCTATGCTCACTGTGTGCACTCTCGTCTGTCTCTTGAGTTTTTAGCCAGTTACACACTGTTTTCTATATTCTGATTGGAGACCCTGACTGTGCAACACCAGTTTGCATCCACCTTCAGCTCGCATGGATCTTTGCCTGCAAATGTAGGTGCTAAATACTTGGTGAAAAGATTTCTGAATGAATAAAACATTTTGAAATGTTTCTGAGAGAACACAGGAAGGCTGTTTAATAAAAGAGAGCTGTTTGGTGGAGAAATGCTTACAGAGCAAGCACAAATCAATATAAGTGTTCTCTGCCTTAATAAATCCAATGCTCCATGCATTCCCACTGCTGGGCCTTTGCACACACTGTTTCCTCTGCTTGAAATGCCTTCTTCTCCCACAGGGTTGCCTGATTCCCTCCTTGTTTGTCCCTCCATCTCCGCCTGAGCATCAAAGCGTTTTCTGGTTACTACTTCCCACAACTCCTTCTTAACACATAACCCTGTAGCTTGAAGTTATGTATTTTCTTCTACAGTTCTTTGGTTAATGTTTTTCCTCCTAATAAACTCCAAGTTGTGTTAAGGCAATGTCTACTTCATTTACCATCTCTTTCTAACACTTGAGTTCATTAAAAAAAATGCTGAATGAACAAATTTTGGAAGTGTCAGGGTTACAAGTACAAATCACTTTGTTTTAATAGTGGTGTTTTCTGATGTGGCTGCTTCAAGGAGTATATTACTCACTTTTGCTCCCTGTTGGGTACAGTTGTACATACCTGTTCTACTTTGCTTTCTGTTGCTGTAATAAAACACTGAGCAAAACCAATTTTGAGGAGGAAATGGTTTATTCCATCTTATACATTATGGACCATCATTGAGGGAAGCCAAGACAGGAACTCAGGGCAGGAACCTAGAGGCAGGACTGAAACAGTGACCACAGAAGCTTGCTGGCTTGCTTCCCCTGGCTTGCTCAGCTACCTTTCTTATACAGCCTAAACCCACCTGCCCAAGGATGGCTCCACCCACAGTGGGCTGGGACCCCTCCCCACATCAATTAGCAGTCAAGAAAATGCCCCCACAGACTTGCCACAGACCAATCCAGTGGAGGAGATTCCTCAGTTGAGATTCCAACTCTTTTCAAGAGTGTCAAGTTGACAACTGAAGCTACCCAGCACAATGCCCAACAGAGTAGATTCCTGCCCCCTTGCAATAACTATCAATATTATACACAAATCTACAAATGAACCTTAGTTCCAGACTTGAAGCTTGACTCTGTTATCTCCCAGCACTCTGTTATCTCCCAGTGTTTGAGGTAAGAGCAAGAATACACAAACTAAAACAGAACTGGCAGGACCAGCATGTGGAACAGCCGACCTAGAGGCCTCACATCCTGCTGTCGAGAGTATAAACTAGTAAAGCACTTGACAGTTAACTCAGTATCTAGAAGATACACACTGTGATGATTTGAATGTGAAATGTTCCTCACAGGCTCATGTGTTCAACACTTGGTCCCCAGACTGTGATCCTGTGTTAGAAGATTATAGAATCTTTAGGAAGTAGAGCCTTGCTCCAGAAAGTGAGTCACTGGGAGCAGGCCTCTAGGTTTGATAGCCTGGCCCCGAATCCTGTCCCTTCTCTGATTCCTGACTGCAGACACAATGTGACCTGCAGCCTCATGCTCCCACTGCTATGCCTTAAACTATGAGCTGTAATAACTCTTTCCTCCCTTTAGGTACTTCTTCTCAGGTATTTGGTTACCACAAGAAGAAAAGCAACTGTTCCACACACATTCTATAACATAATGCACTTCCATGTGTGCTACTCAGAAAACTCACATGGAAATACTTCTTAGGGACAATCATATAGAGGTATGAACTATAGTGCTCATAATGGCAAAATCTCGGAATGAATTCAAAAGTACCACATATAGAGAGCTGATTTAATGAATTTAATTTAATAATATATGTAATTTATATGTAAATAAATTGTGGAAGTTCATACAATGCTATGTAGTTGTTAAAATGAATAAACTAGATCTCCAAATATTGGCATGACTAGGTCTCAAAAACATAATGCTCAATAACAAAAGGAGAAAATGGAATGGAAGAGAAAAGAGAGAAAAGAAATAAAGAAGAGGAAGAGGAAGAGAAAGAGGAGGAAGAGAAAGAGGAAGAAGGGGAGGAGGAGGAGGAAGAGGAGAAGGGGGAGGAGAAGGAAGAAGGGGAGGAGGAGGAGGAAGAAGGGGAGGAGAGGAGGGAGGGGAGGGGACAGGGGAGGGGTAGGGGGAGGGGATGGGAAGGGAGGGGAGGGGAGGGATGGTATGGAAGAGGGACAGTATGGAAGAGCGAGAGCACACAAACCCAGCCCTGAGCACGAACTCTAGTTGCCTCTAGAGAGAAAGAGAGTAGGGAAAACTGTCACTGGAACTATTTGAAGACAAACTTCACCTCTGTCTTTGGAGTTATTCCTTTTTTAAAAGAGGCTGAACAAATATAGAAAAATATTCAAATTCCGGATGGTATGGAAGAGGGACAGTATGGAAGAGCGAGAGCACACAAACCCAGCCCTGAGCACGAACTCTAGTTGCCTCTAGAGAGAAAGAGAGTAGGGAAAACTGTCACTGGAACTATTTGAAGACAAACTTCACCTCTGTCTTTGGAGTTATTCCTTTTTTAAAAGAGGCTGAACAAATATAGAAAAATATTCAAATTCCTTTAAATTGAGTGACAAGCACACCAGGGTGTGGGGGGTGTTTACTGTAAGAGGTTTCTATGTATGAACTATTGTATGGTTTGGTTTGGTTTGGGCACAGGGTCTTGTTACATAGCTCTGAGTAGCCCTGAGTTCCTGGCAATCCTCTTGTGTCAGTCTCCCACGTGCTAGGATTATAGATGTGCACCACCACCCCAGTCTCAGGTAATACTTTAAATGGCTACTGAGAAATGAGAAGTGGGAGGAGAAGGAAGAGGAGGGAAAGGAGGGAGGAAAGAAGGGGAGGGAGAGGGATGGAGGAAGTAGGAAAAGAAAGGGAAGGAGAGGGAGAGAGACCACATTCTGACTTTGTCAATGGACCTCAAACAAAAGATGTAAGTCCTCTGAGACCCTCATTTGCAAACAAGATTAACAATGTTCAGGGTTGTTGTAAGAATGAATGAGAATTAATGTTATCTATAATAACTTCCAGATATTACCCACTGGAATTTTGCTTTGGACTGATTCTCTAATGACTTTCTAAATCTATCTTATTCCTGGAGATACTTGTTTATGAAACTGCTCAGAAATTGTGTGTGTGCATTTTCAACACCAGTACGACCCAAAGAACAAGAATACTTTGCTACTGCTTGTACAAAAATCATATACATACAAGATCTATGGATGTATATACATACCAATTATTTTCAGCTGTGATTTCCCTGAGGGAAAAGAACTGGAACACTTAGAGAACAGAAATGGAGAAGAAATTTATACTTCTCTATGATTATTTTTAATTATGCACTATGTACGTAGATCACTTGTTCCAAAAATCATTATAATTCTTTTTAAAATTAATGTGATGGTCCCCTCTTTTTCTTCAAACCCAAATCCACTTAAAAAGGAAAAGACCTAGCATCTAAGTTCTAAAAAGGTTCTTAAGCAGTTGTGCTGCTGAGGATATAGCTCAATGGCAGGACTCTTGTGTAACAACAACAACAAAAAAAAAAAAAACCTCCTGGTACAATGCCACAAAAATAGCAAATGATACAGCTCAGCCTCCTTGGAGGAAAAGCATCCTAAGCCATTGTATTACTTACTTGCCTTCTTGCTGTGATAAAATACCCTGACAAAAGCAACTTTTGGAAGGAAGTGTGTATTCTGGCTCACAGTTCCAGGAGACAGTCTGTTGTGGAGGGGAGTCATGGCAGCAGGGGCATGAAGTGGCCAGTCACATTGCATCCACTGTCTAGAAGTAGAGAAAGTTGAATCCTTGTGTTTAGCTGACCTTCAGTCCAGGGCCCTATCCCAGGAAAAGTGCCACCCACTTTTAGGGTGGGTCTTCACACCCCGATTAATCCAATCAAGATCTTCCTCACAGATACACCCAGAAGCTTGACTCGTAGATGATTAGACATCTTGTCACATTGACCATCAACACTGAGCATCACACCCTTACTCTCCGTGTAGTCGGTCAGACAAAAGAAAAAGCACAATGCTGGGATCAAAGATCTAGGTTTGGTTCCTGTCACCTTGACTTGCAACTATATGAGACTGAGTGTTTGTACTCTCAGGGGCCCCAGTTTCACCCCTAAAGTAGAATAACAGCAGCATCATGAGACTGTGACATTAGTATAGTGTTAAAATTGCATACAGCTGTTTATTTGAGGGCTGATTTGTGATGCAAAGTGTCATTCAGAAACACTGGTTCGATCCTTGACTTCTATTAATGTGTTCCAGAATGCATACACCCAAGACCTTCCTAGCAGGTCAACAGTCATCTTGCTTCATGGATAACACTGCCTCTTTTCTCTCCACAGCAAATATCTTGACAGTGATCATCCTCTCTCAACTGGTGGCAAGAAGGCAGAAGTCCTCCTACAACTATCTCCTGGCACTTGCTGCTGCTGACATCTTGGTCCTCTTTTTCATTGTGTTTGTCGACTTTTTGTTAGAAGACTTCATTTTGAACATGCAGATGCCTCCAATCCCTGACAAGATCATAGAAGTACTGGAGTTCTCATCCATCCACACATCCATTTGGATTACGGTTCCCTTAACTGTTGACAGGTATATTGCCGTCTGTCACCCACTTAAATACCATACGGTGTCCTACCCAGCCCGGACCCGGAAAGTCATTGTGAGTGTTTATATCACCTGCTTCCTGACCAGCATCCCCTACTACTGGTGGCCCAACATCTGGACTGAAGATTATATCAGCACCTCCATGCATCATGTCCTTGTTTGGATCCACTGCTTCACCGTGTACTTGGTGCCCTGCTCTATCTTTTTCATATTAAACTCAATTATTGTGTACAAGCTCAGGAGGAAGAGTAATTTTCGTCTCCGTGGCTATTCCACAGGGAAAACCACCGCCATCTTGTTCACCATCACCTCCATCTTCGCCACCCTCTGGGCCCCCCGTATCATCATGATTCTCTACCACCTCTACGGGGCACCCATTCAGAACCCCTGGCTGGTCCACATCATGTTGGACGTCGCCAACATGCTGGCCCTTCTGAACACAGCCATCAACTTCTTCCTCTACTGCTTCATCAGCAAGCGGTTCCGCTCTATGGCAGCTGCCACACTCAAGGCCTTCTTCAAGTGCCAGAAGCAACCTGTACAGTTCTACACTAATCATAACTTTTCCATAACCAGTAGCCCCTGGATCTCACCAGCAAACTCACACTGTATCAAGATGCTGGTATACCAGTATGACAGAAACGGAAAACCTATAAAAGTATCCCCATGACCCCATAGGTCTGGCACTCGTGCCTCTGTGTAATCCATTTCTAGATGGGAAGGTGTCCCATCCTATGGCTGAAAAGCTCTCCTGAAAAGTGCTAATCTGATTTCCTATCTCCACATACTGAGAAGCTTTCAGACTGGGAGACGAGAAGAGATAGAAGAGAAGAAAGGAAAGCATGGATCTTGTTTTTCTTTGTGCACTTATTTTCACAAAATCACATTGACAGCCAAAGTTCCTACCAGTTTGAAGATGCCATTGGAGGTTACAAACGGCATCATCTTTTGACCAGTAAAGACCACAGTAGAGAAATAGCACTGGTACCATCTACAGCCAATGGGAACCAACCACTCATGTTGTGATACACTAAGCCACCGTAGTGTGTAGCTGAGCCGCACTTCTTCCAAGAGTTAAGGCCATCCATCACTTCCCTGTACCATTTCCAGCAACTAACAGGACTGACCAGTTTGGGATTTTCTTCCAAGGTGCCCTTTGACCTAAAGAGGATTGTGGCCTCCAAGTGACCCTAGCAATGCAAGCTGCAGAATGACAGCATGGGGGAAGAGAAGGGTTGAATCCCATTCAAACCGTGATTGGAGCATCTATTGGGGAAGCTCCAAACTAGCATCACTATGACCTTTAGACCTGAGGGTCTGTGGCACAGTTTTCTATTTGCCATAATGTATAGATTTTATCTATTTCCTCCAAAACAAAGACCCTGCCTGGTGTGCAGAGGAATGGAGGAGTTCTTGAGCCCAGAAAAACAAAAAAACAAGCCCACTCTTGCCATTGTTTCAGGCCACCCCTGTGTCCACTGTGTATGATCCCTGTATTTAAAATCACTTCTTATTGTCACACTACACACGCTTCCCAGAGAAGCCATTTATGCGTCAAGTTGCTAACCCTGCCCCGCTGCTTGCTGAAGCCCTCACAAAATTGTTTAATTTGAAGTGGCTTCCTAACTGAATGTGATATTCAAGGGATCAGGAATTGTAGTTTGAGTATGAAAGGGGTTTTCTAGATCCTACCATAATTGGTATTCCCATAAGACTCCCAAATACAGACACAATTGACAGAGAGAGGGATGTGCCAACCGCTGACCTGTCCTTTGATGTAAGTGATTCAATAGGTGATGCCAGTTATCACTGAAGCTGTGATCCTTCACACAGACCCTTCACAACATTAAAATATTTATTTATTTATTATTTATTTATTTATTTATTTATTATCCTCAGTTACCTGTTCAAGGCAAAAACAGATCTAGGATGCAATGAACAGAGGCTTCCCTGGGAATTATCACTTCTGTGTGGAGACAGATAATGTACATGTATAGACATGACTATATTAAACCCCTCTATGTCCTGTGACATGCTGTAAAAGGGAACCCCATGCTAGAGTTCCTCTTATTTTGCGTTTTATTTTTACCCCCCTCCCCAGATTTCCAGTATTTGAAATCATCCTTGGTTTGGAAGAAATTTTCCAAAATGATGTTTGAAATTGCATGATGTTTTTGGTGATCAAACTAAACTTAGTCATTTGGAGCACTTGGTTCCATGGGGTCTATTTAATGCATTTTCTCCCAAGGCATGTCTTATCATTTTAAGGTATTTTGCAACAAAGGAATAGGTTAGAAATCCCTAGTGCAATCAAAGACCTAAACTTCAACCGGGGTCCTTGGACTCCTAGTACTTTGGGGTCATAGTATTCCTTATGGTTCCAAGTGTTAGATGCTAAAGTCAATTTGAAAGCAAGTAGCCTGGTGGAGCCATGGTTAGTGTGCACAGTCCTCAGGAAAGATGGTTTTTAACACCTAAGACAGGGATCTTCTTCTCCAGCATTGGAAAAGGTTGTTCATTCTTTGGTTGAAGATAATAGAGTTGGCTGGTGTCTAGGGGTCATATCATGTTATTCTGATGTATCTGAGAATATTAGAACTTTCCTGGTACCTCAAGACACTGCACTGAAAGGTTTGCAGATGTTCTTCACGTAAGGAATGAGCAGGATCCTAGCTTCCATCTCACTTGCTCCCCAAAGCATACATTCAGTGAGTGAAATGTGAGCAGATTCCCCTGCATCCCTTGAATTGCATCTCTCTTTTTTCCAAGCATGTGTAGTTAAATAGATGTTCATTAACTGTGTGTAAGACACAATTCCACGGCACCCTTTTATGAATGAACATTGACCAAAGGCTTCCTATACTGAATATTATATATATATATATTTATTTTTAAAGCACATAGCTCTGAAAACACTAGTTTGAGCTATACATGAATGAGTCAAAGTGCAATATTTATAAAGGTTAAGCAATTCCTTTTTGAGGGTGTACACAAGATGGAAAATAAGTCTGTGAATCTCAATGCTGTCTGCTCTATGCTTTTAATTGTATATAAAAATGTTATTTAAAAACTGGGTGGGCATTAGGAGTATTTTCCTTAAACACTCATTTATTATTTTTCTTGACAGGAGTGATCTACCAAGTAGCGTTGCAATGTATTTTTTCCTTCTGACTACATTTTCTACACCTCTAAATAGTCTTTTAAGGGGTCCAATGCTTGAAAGCACTCCAGAGAGTTGCTCCATTTTCTGTTTAAGATGCACATGAATGCCCTTCGAGTTAGGCTGATATATGTCGCCTAAGGTTTATTTCATCACATAAGGACCTTTCATCTATTATTTATAATAATGATAATAATAAAATTGACAATGATGAAGTTTATTTCTTTCAGGCAGGTTTTGGAAATAAAGCCTTGACTTCTGAAGCTTGTCATATGAACAGCTGCTGCTAAGGGCACTCAGGCAATGCCTTGGTCTGGGTTTTTGAGGTGCCTCCTTCAAAGATCATTAACTCTCACCTCACTTGCTGTATGATTTGTGTCTTTGGTTGGACATGGTGACAATACCACAATACTACACATGTACATGTTGTATCTTTTTCTTAGCAACTAGAAGCCTGGAATATCTCACAGGGAAGGAAATGAAAGGATTTACTGATAAGTCATAAGAGACAGACCATGTGAAGGCGTGAACTTCCATTTTGCAAACATCTTGCAATAGGAAAACATTACTTTGCTTTGTTGGTGCCACTAGTCCAACATGGGGAGCCCTTTAGAAGCAAATAAAAGACTCTGATGTTGGCTATTCCTGCTCAATAGAATAGATGGCTACCCCTGAAGAATAGTAAATGTTCATATTTTCTTAACTAGATAACATATGGTGTTTGGACTAGTTTGTATTCTAATAAATTCTAATATGGTGCGCACTTGGTGTCTGATATTTGCATATATGTTCAAGCAAATGCAGAATGCTGATTTTTTATTAATGTTATTTTTAATTGACAAACAATAATTGTATACATTATGGGGTGTAATGTGGCGTTTTGATATACGTATTAAACGTGCAATGATTAAATCAATCACCTCACTTGTATACCGTTTTATGTTGAGACATTTAAACTTTTCGATAGCTATTTTGAAGCCTACAATACATTATTATTGACTATAATCCCTCTGCTGTGCAACAGATCTCAAAACATTCCCCTATCTAATTGAATCTTTGTATCCTTTGACCAACAGCTCCCCACTCATTGGCTCTCACCTACCCCACCTTCTGATAACCTTCATTCTATTCTCTAGTTCTATGAGCTCAGCGATTTTTAGATTCTACATATAATTGAGATTACATGATGTTTGTCTACCTGGAGCTGAGTTATTTCACTATGTATAATGGCCTCCAAATTGTAAAATATTGATAAAATTTTAGTTGTTTTAAATGGACATTTTGCTTATATATTGTGCTGATTGTTAGGATAAAACCAGATTCCCACACGCCTCCTAGTTGGCCATGTATATTTCAAAAGTTAAGGTCACATAACTCTGCTTTCTGTAATCCTGAATTGCTCATTCATAGGTATAAATCTGAGTTCTCTTATTATCGCATCCTCTGTTTGTCTTTGACACAATGAGGGTTTAATAACAAATGGAGTCAACACAGTGGCAAAAAGCTTGAACTTCTGTGTCGGGCAGTCATGGATCCATGCTATACGTCTATTAGTGACCAGATGCATAGCCTTCAACCAGTCATTGAAGACCTCTGAAAGATTGTCTTCAGCTATAAAGGGCTGAGAATTATAATTGTTTCCATTCTCCACAAGGCAAGTAGATGGTATCGTGGTTAGATACCTACAGTTGGTTCAGTTATTAAATGGTATAACTTTCTGGGCTACGTGACCTTTGGCAAAATTATAGATCTCTCTGAGTCTGAATTTCCTCTCCACAAAGTGGACTGACTGATCCAGTAGTACCTCCTGGAATTCTCATTAGTAGCAGACTTTTAAGGCTTCTCTTGTACATCACTTTACAGGAGAGAATGCTGGGCCCAACGAGGTGAATGACTTTGTCCAGAGTGAAGCCCGGGTCACTCCACATGCTACCCTTTCCACTCCATCTCACTGGCTTCTCTGAAAGATTCTGACTCATCCTCCAAAAGATCCCATTATCTTTATGCCCTTTTCAGAGCTGGAAATATTCCATAGTTTTGCAACTCTTCAAACCCAGGTCACCCAGGCATGAGATATAACTGCATCACCATTAAGACACTCCACTTGACCTTTCTTTGTAGGATAGAACTTTATTTAAATTGACTCTACCAACTCTCAAACTCCGTATTAATTTTCCCACACAAACCACCATCATTTCTGACAGCCACCCACAAACTATTGTCACAATCCATCTTTGCATCAACTTAGAGAATGGAAGTGACATATAAGTTGTGGGGAGGTACAGAATAGCAAAGAATTTGATGAAAGGGTCACAGAATCTCTTAAGCATGGCCACAGTAGCTCATTAATTTTTTGCTTACCAACTCAGAAAAGCAGGACACAAGTGAGCTGATGGAGGATGGACAGTTAGATAATGATCCTTTTGTTAATGTGATTTAGCCTCTTTGGAGGTTGAGCAATTAATCCAAGCACTTGCCAGTCACTACAAGGGGGATAAGGGGCTTGTGTCTATGAGGATAAATAGATACTGTGAATATTCTGGATTTACTGGGAGAATGCCACTATTGTGCCCCCAAAAAAAAGAAAAAAAAAGAACTTCCTTATTTAAAAAGGAGAAAAATAGGGCAACGGAGAAGAAAAGTTTTGTCATAAAGTCTGCATTGGGTATTCTGCATATGGAGTTCTGTTACCTAAAGAACAACAGTAACACAAAATGTCTCTCCAGGGGAAGATGAGAAAGAGGAAGTGAGC